AACAGAAGCCTCCATGGAGATTTTAATGTAGCCTTTCAGTACATAAAGGAGGCTTATAAGAAAGATATGGTTAGACTTCTTTTTAACAGGGCCTGCAGATGTAGGACACGGGGTTTTTACTATAATAATGTAGATTTAGCCTACATCTAAAGAAGCCATTTTTTACAATGAGGGTTGTGAAATATTAGAGGAGGTTTCCCAGAAGAACTGGGGATGCCTTATCCCTGGAAGCATTCAAGACACTGTTAGACGGGGCTCTGAGCAGCCTGATCTAGGGGAAGCTGTCTCTGCTCATTGCAGGGTGCTTGGACTAGATGGCCTTTGAAGTTCCCTTTCAACCCAAACTGTTCTATAATTCTGTGATCTCTACAAAAGCAAGTTATATAGATGGGTATAAAAGAATAAGACATCACGTCAAATTAAAATACTTGTGTCATTCAATACAATCTGTTCTTCAGTGTTCCAGCTGTTCATATCTTTGAAAACTTCTACATGTTCACCTATGAAATTAGTGATGAAAAAAGAATGATTACAGTAGTGATTATTTCTTAGATTTACAAGTATCAAAGTGATTAAGAACTGAGGCTTGTAATAAATTTTTTTTTAAATGTATCAGGATTTCTTTTTCACTGCTTCCTCAGGATTTTTAATTTTTAGCCTTTAAGCCATAATTTCACTCTGAGTTGGAAGGGAACCACAAGGATCATAGAGTCCAGTTCTTGGGTGAATGGCCCATACGGGGATTGAAGACACAACCTTTGGTGTTGGTGTTTTTAGAACCACATTCTAACCAGCTGAGCTAATCTGTGGTCACCTATGACTAGTTTTAGTCTTTCTAGTTAAGATTTGAATAAGTCCTTCAATTTGATGAAATGTAGAAACCCAGTCTTTTACAGAATGATAGTCTCCAAGTAGAAAAATTAAATCTTCTTATGATGGTGCTTGATGTCATTGAACTATCAAGTCAAAGGAAAGAAGAGACAGAGTAGATTGTTTAGTTCCTCCACTGAACAGAGCCTGTGGCAGGTACAGAACTAAATTTATCAGGCTTAACACAACACAATGCAAGATGATAAATTATCATATAGAATTTGCTCTTCTGGAATATGATTCTATGAATATATTTAACCTGATTTTCTAAGGAAATAATTATGCTATGTAAGCATTCATACCTGTCTCTCCCTCAGCTGTAGTGAGACAATAGGCACTTGCAACAAAATCTGAAAAAGTGAGGAGGAAACAAAACAACAGGTTCCTGAAAACTTGGTAAAACTATATGGTTAATTAAATACAGGGACATTCTGACTGTAACCTGTATTATTATGACAGGTCAGAAAATTCACTGGAGTATAAAAGAAAAAGAAACAGAGATCCTTCATTCATGTTTTAGCCTTGGCAAAATTCTCAGTCAGAGCTCAACCTTTTCAGTCAATCTTAGAATGGCAAATGCACTGGAAACTAGATGTCTTTAATTCCAGTGTTGATAGAATTTGATTTTTCTAAATGGTCTATTTCACAAAACCTAATAACATGCTTTTATATAGCTACAAAATGAAAATACATACCAAACGTGAAAATAACCTATTGAAAACAGCCCTATTAATCATAAATGTCCTCTTTTTGTGCAACATCTAAAAAGCAGTCAAGGTTAGATGAGCAAAAAGGTTCTGTGATCTGAACTCAGATACTAAACTCAGCATGAATCCAATAAGAATTATTAAGTGACCCACTGTCTTAACTTTTCTTCAGGGCAAGTATTGATATTGCCTGATATTCCAACATCTTTTAAAATCCTCTCTTCAGCATCTGTCTCCAAGCACAGCACTTGTACCAAGGAGTCAATCAATTAAAACTTTCCTCCAGCTTAGGAAAGTTGGTTAGGCTTTGTACCAGAGACTATTTAATCATCTCTTACGCTGACCACTGATTTACAAATGCAAATAAGTCTCTTGATAGCACTGGGTATGGCTTTTTCAAGTCCTTCAGTAATGGAAGACTAACATCACTGCATTAATATGACTTATGTTATGTAGAGTTTCCTTTCTAAAATGTTTTTAATATTCAAGCTAGAAAAAGGTAATACTTTATTTTTGTCTGAGTGTGCATATGGACATTGTATTTTTTTAAAGAAGCATAAAGTATTAGTCTATACCCATATCTGTATTTTATGCTGGTAAGTTAGCAGAGAATCTCCTATATTTTCTGAGGTATTTCAAGGTATTTATCACCCCTCCCCCCCACCCCAGTAAGAGAATTTGTTTGATTTCTCTTAACAGTTGTAACTGTTACTCAAGTGTGTTCTTATGAGAGCTCTAGATGATTTAACAGTGAGCTCAGAGACTGGTGTAGGTACCTGATAAGTGGCTGGCACAACTGAAGAGTAAAAGGATAAGAGCACCCACTAAAGAGAGGGTTGTCAGGAGGGTACTTAAAACTTCTTTAACTCCTGGAATCAGCACTGATCACAGATTTAAGGTGGATCTGCCTCAAATTAATCGTTTATGTCAAGTCTCACTGAAGCCTTTTAATCTCAAATCCCCAAGTATTTTTTAACTGCAAAGTACAGCACAACAATTTAAATAGAAACAATAACACTATTTCAAAGAGAGAATTTTTTTTAAAAAAGCTTTCTTCAAAAGCCCCCTGTAACTTTGCAGTCAACTTCCTGGTACACCAGCATGGTCTTTGGCAGCTCGGGGATGCTCAGCAAGCCCTGCACTGTCCTTCCCACCAGACCATTAGCACAGTTTGCTCTTGGCATTTTGGGGACGCTGCTGATCTGCTCTCCAGCCGCACACTGGACACCTTTTGCCAGCCTGCACACAGTAACCTTATTTTACCCCAAGAGATGGGGACATCTCTTCACCCTGGGGCAAGCTCCATACCAATACCAGTAATAGTAATACTTCAGGAATAGGCCCCACAAATCCATGTCGCCTACGGATGAAGGTGATCTCCTAATAATTAAATTAACAGTGTATATAGAGACTGGGAAGTGCACTGAAGTAATCAGTCCCTTACCATCTTCCCTTTCATTCTATTATCTAAAAAAAAAGTGTGCTTTTTCCCTAATACACCCTCAACTTTTTTTTTCCCCACATTTTAAATTTTTTTAATTATACTGACCATTTAAAAATGTGTATAAATTTTGTGAAGAAAATCTTTGATGTTTTTGGTCATGCAGAATTCTATGACTTGAATAACTGGACCAAAATGTAAAGTTTATTAGTAGCTGTTTGATATGGGCAAACTACATTTTTCCCTCTCTACAGCAGAAATCTTAATATATTTTTCATCTTTGCCATTAAATACAGAGAGGATTTTCTTCTAATTTCTAAAAGCAGTTTTGTGGAAAAAAATGGGTAATCAACATAGAAAATGTCTTTTTTTTTCTGAAAACGCTTTTAGTCTGGCATAAATGACAGCTATTTAAAGGCAATCACTTGTGTTTTATATCTCACACAAAAACCAGCAGACACAGTACCCTGCCTTTGAGACAAAACACTGATACATGTGACAGAACATTTCAAGCAGTAGTAATCAGAAGCCACAGATCCAGCATCATCAAGAAAACAACTAAAACATTGTCCATTAAGATCTGTATCTCTTTTTGCTATTGTTGCTCAGCCTTTAGCTGATATTATGCTGCACTGTGAATAACCAATTATCCTCATCAGACAGGTACAGGAGATGCAAATCACATTCATTCTGCAGTATGTACACTGATAGCTTACACATCTGTAAAAATAAAGCACTTTTCAAAATATCACCCAGGAGGCATGTGTTCTGTTTTCTGTTCAGTGACCTTTGAAAACTCTGGTCCAATGAATGACTAGTGATGCACAAGTAAATTGGGAGACACTAGATTAAAAGTGCCTATAACCTTATGTATTATCTGTTATGAGGACAGCTATGATAAAAAGATACATTGCTCTTTCATAATTTTCCTGAGAGAGCAAATCAATGAGAACATAAACTTGTATCCCCTTAAATTTAATGGTTACAGAATTAATTATCCTGGAAAATCAAAAATATAACATGCAGAAAAACTGCAGTGAATTACATCATTTAAGTATCTAATTTAATGGTAATTTGCTACCATACACCATTTGTTCACATGGCATCAACCATATCTTGATAAATCTGGCCTTCCATTCAATCATTTTATGTAGAAAGAAACTGAACTGTGCTTCAAGATGGAAAAACTTCATATTCCCAAGATATTGGTAGAACACTAAAGGAATTCAGCAATGACATTCTTGCATCTGTTGGAAGCCTTTGTAAGGATTATGACATATTATAAAGCTTAGACCTTCTTTCTCACACCCTACATGGCCCATATGGCCTCAATCTGTGTCAGACAAAGTCAGCACTGTAAGACAGCTACATAACCAAAAGGCAAGGAAAAACACCAAATCCATGGAGACATGGTACAGTACATGTGGCTTTGCTTTTGGTGCTACATTACCAACAAAGCCTTCACTGCAAGCCCTGATTACAGCTCAGGTAATTCAGCCTTTGAGTAAGCATATCTTTTAAGCATAGATATGGTCTATAGCATTTATGCAGCCACTTGAACATTAAAAACCCTTTCAAAATTCTTCTTTTATAGTATAACACTACACATCTTCTATCATGCACATATGCCAGGAGACCAAAGATTTTTAAAGCAAAAACATTCCACAATTCCAGTTGACAAGCTAAAAAGGGAGTTACCAAGTCATAGAGGTTCTTCACAACAACCAAACACCAAACTGAGCACTGACAAGAGTTATGAGGAAGAAAAGCCTTTTGAATGCAAGTAGCTAAACCATAAACTTCTTAACAGCATGAAAGACTTACCTGTTGTATTGCTCACATTTTTACAGTTTAGAATAAACAGTGGACACCTTTACTCAAAATATAAACAAATTGATTCTTAACCAATTTTAATTTCATAATTAATCACATTTTTATTACAGATTATATTTTTCCTATAAGAAAGAATAAATAAAACTTACCCTCTCCAAAGTAATTTCTTCAAATTCATATTCAATTTCTGTTCCATTGACCTAAAGAAAATAAAAACAGAAAATTCTTTAAATCCACATGGAAGGTAATTCATAGGCACACTGTACAGCTGTTTGAGTATCATTGGTTTACTGAAGCACATATTCCAACACATAGCTGAAGAGTTCTAAAATATAGAATACTAACTCCCCTTTGTCTTGAGGGGGCATGGTCAAGCCTAAAAACTGAAAATAGTAAAAGTTCAGTATGCAATGGCTATATAAATCACCAATATAATAAGACTGGTATTTGATAAAACATCTTTGAGGACTTTGTGCCAATGTTTAAATAGTTTCCAAGGTAATAGTTTCAAGTCAAAATAGAAGACCTGCTCCTAATATTCTCACAATATAAGAAAAATTGTTTATGCATTGTCTTACAAGCTCCAATTTACATTGAAATACAAAAAGAGACAGGAAATTCACAGTACTTATGCAAAAATTATGCACTGATACATCCACTGAAATACATCTTGTTTACTATATTAACCTAGGGCAAGAACATGACAGAGAACCTTTGCAAGAGACAGCTGAATGGCAAAAAGGCACAGAATGTTAATGTAATTCCTATGCTGAGTCCCAGTGTCAAAATAAATTAAGCTACAAAATGTAGAGCACCAAAATGGATTGTGTTGGACAAGAAATCTATAAGCTAAAGAGATGACACTGATTTAAGCAGTATTCCAAAACCTTGTTCCAGTCTGACATGGATTGTTTTTTGTTCCTCCAGGCAACTCACTTAACATATCTTTTTCCCTTTTCCTCCCTTTTCTCATTTCTTAAATGGATAGAGTTCCTGAGAAAGCTACAAAGGCTCACCATATTGCAGGTAAACTGCAGAGCAATGGAAACATATCTATCATTAAAATCTCAGAAGAATTTCAAAGCATCACTTTGATACAACTAGTCAGCAATTTTTTACTTGGCCAGAAAGTATTGATTAAAAAATAAAAAAAAAAAAAGAAAAATAATAATAAGAAAAAATTATTAATCATGCTATTTTAGTTTCTGTAATGATGGGATATGCCCTGGAAAATAGCTTTGCTTCAGTGTCTTAATTTATACTTAATGGAAAAAAAAATCTAAACTGAAGGAAAGGACTGGGATTAACTTCATATTGGAGAAACAAATTTGTTATTTCTCAAAACATGAACTTTTTTCACTCCTCCCCACTCCCAACTGCTAATTTTCTGTATTAGATCCCTAACTGCAATCGTAAAACACTATATATAAATCATTCTTTATCTCGTCAAGCACCTTTCAAATGTAATTAGGTACTTCTCTTGTATTTTAACAAGGTACATGTATCTGCCAAACAAAAGCTTCCTCTAAGATCCACCAACTATGTAATTTGTTTACAATTCAAGATGTGATAAACCATGAAATCTGTAATAGAAATACAATCTCCAGAATCTGTGTTTAAAAGGAAAGAGAGAGAAAAGTCCAAACAAACAACTCATGCTCAAGAATTACAGGAAAACACAGCATCAATGAATATAATATTTAAAATGTGCATAATATTTGGGGTTTGTAGTTTATTAGGATTGGGTAATCGCATCACATTACACTTACACCAGAGATGAAAGAAAAAATTTTACTACAGGATGTCATCCTGCCCAATGTTATCACTTCAATGCTTTCTACATAGACTCTTTTATTAATATGGGCAACTTATTACATATGAAGATATTTATAGCTATTCCATGTTTTATCCTTTCTTGTCTAATGATAATGAAATCAAAGCTATCTATATGTCTCTGTTTTCATGAACTTCTCTTTCATCTTAGGTTGGTGGATAGCTCTGATCTATGCCTCCAATTCCTCAGTCTTGCTCTATAAAGCTGTCTTTGCTTCACTGCTTATAATCACTTTTCCTTTGCATTAAAAACTCATTAGTGCAGCAAAATGGGAAAAAGAGGGATATGAGAAGTGAGCAACCTCTGTGGAAAGATGAAAGGAGAAAACACAAGCTGAATACTCAATTTGTATTTGCACACAAACGTTATCTTGTTATGACCATCTGAGGGGTTTCTATTATCATCGACAGTGGCCATTCTGAAAATGCCTTCAATTCAAATCAAAATTAATTGCAGCAGAGTTCCATTATCAGGCTCCATAGCAGCAGGGGTGATATGAATTAAAAAGCTGATCTTGATCCAGCTCCTTTTGTTGTTTAAACATATATGTCTGCATATACCATTCTCTGTCTTGTTTGCTTTGCTGGTTGCTCAGCAAACCAAATGAAATTATTTCTTAAAGAATCTACTAAGATACTGTTCCAACCTGAGGCAGGTGGAATGATGTTTTATGCAGTACCACTCACTGCTAGCACCATTTAACTCTGCATATAGACTCTCTGGCTGCACCTACACTACTAAATTATAGTCAGTTTTCAGCCAAGTCTCAGTGCTTAGGGCTGTTTCTGTCTGGAGCCTGCTGGAAGCAAATGGCCAAGGACTGAGCCAACACTTAAGTAGAAAGCGAGTCATGGCTCCAGCACTGGAACTGGCTTGTTGCTGCTCTCATTTAGCAGCATATGGACATACCCTCTGCTTTTGTACATTCTAACTTGACAGTCTCTGGCCTGTCAAAGCACCTAAACAAGCTGCCTGAACCTGCTATTTCAATTTCTTGCAAGTAGTGGAAACCTACTCTTCTGTCCCTCTTTTCATGACTTATCTAATCCTGCTTTTATATCAGATTTCAGCAAGAAGAGAAAGCAAAATTTACTACAGCCTCCATGATTTTAGATAATGATGAAAAATTACAAACATTTTCATTCAGTTTTCTCTTCTTTTCAATCAAAGAAATCATCAGCATTTTCAAGTTGTTTGGGAAAAATTCTTTCTCAGCTTCCCAGAGTGCAAGCTTGTAATGACAGATATCTTTCATCTTTCATCACAAGTAAAATATACATTTATAACGCTGAAATATGAGGTAGTCATCTAACACTATACTCAAGTGAATAAAAACAGGCACAAGAAGGTCTTAATTTCATCCTCTGCTAAAAATCTCAGGTAGGTGAGGTGAATTGTGGCTGGACATTTCCTTTCTCTATGTACAGAGTCTAAAAATGACGTGTGAAGTTAGGTGAACGCTTGCCTTGAATATGTTTTCTCTGCATTTCTCACGGCTATAGACTGGAAACAAATTTCTGCTTAAGGGATGCCATATATCTTTTGTAATTATGCACCACTGAAAGGCCGGATCTCCGGTTTAGCAGCTTTTCCAAATGCTTTTTTGGGCTTGTCTACACCTGTAACTGGCAGCACATGCCTGTCATGATATCCAGCACCTACTCCCACAAGCCAAACCTATAAGGATATCCACAAGGAACAACTCAATCTTTCGCCTTCTCCAAAAGCCAAGAAATGCTGCTCTTGGCTTCTGTGCACACGATGTGCACTCTTCTGAGAAAGATGCTCAACAGCACCTGTGACAGCAAGGGGCCACAGGACTGCAGAAGAAGTGGTTCACAAGATGAGGTCTGTGGGAGGACACAACCAACTGCATCCCTTCTCCAATGCACAGGAGCTGGAATCAACACATGGCTCATCCAGGAGCTTGTATTTCTGTCAGAGGAAAAAAGATACTATTGACCAGGAAAAAATGTAAAACTGCTACATGGGAGCAGATGTACCTGAAATCGTTAGACAATAAAAGAGCTTCTGCTGCATGGCCAACATACACTTGCAATGCAAGAAGGTTCACAGCCTCCTGACCTTACATATGTTCATGTTCCAGAACGTGATGAATGCACACCCCTTCTTGAACAAATTACCAGAGTTTAATTAAGCCCCAGTGTTTAAAAGAACACCCCACAAAGGCAAGGTAACAGTTACCTTTCATTTACAGCTGCACCTGTTATTCTAGAGGACTCTCCGAAACATTTGACAACAAAATGTCTTTAAGAAAGAGATGTAATGTAGGGTAACTATCCAGACTCCACCACTCAAGAGAAATTTCCTGGCAAAGTGAACTCTAATAGCAATGAAATTAGAATATCATCACTATTAGAGTTCACTTACCTCTCTAAGAAGAAAGCACTATTCATCTTCAGTGACATTTACTTTCAGGAGAGCGAGAAATAAGAAACAGGTAGAGAGGTTTTTACACACAATTTTGTGAAATATCTGAAATAAACCCCAGCACACAGAATGCCAAAGTAAGGACCTGACAAACTCAGATTTGTTTGTTCCTTTATGTGAAGACTCTGCAGCAAGTTTCTCTCCTTCACTGCAGTTAAAAGGTGATACAAGCAGCTGAAGTAGTCCCTTACTGAAAAATCAACTCTACACATTATGTGAAATTCCTAAAATCCTTGAGACAAACATTCTGTTGGGTTTTTCATTTTCTACCACATGCTCTGCCACTTCATTAACACTTTTTAAGATTTTTGCTTTCATAATAACAACTGTAATTTGATAGCCTTTTATTTTACTTCTGCAATTATTTGATTTGACGGACTTGTTTACACTTGAAAAGTAAACATTGCATAATTCTTTCCTGCTATACTTCTACCCTACTACAACTACATCAACTTAATAAGATATATATTTCATTATGTGAATTTTAGTGATAAGAACTGTATTATGATAGCAGCAACAATCCAATCAAAACATACAGTTATTCAACTGCAAGATTTCAAAATCCCTGGACCTATCCTTTCTAATAAAAACTGCCATCAGAGCCATTTGTTATGCTAAGTCTTATTTTCAAGAAGACACTGTTTTGCATAAAAATTACGTCTGTAGACTTTTATTACAATCAAAACTAATCATATTTAATTGAGTATTGTTTTTCAGAAAACTGCAAGAAAGAATACTGCTGCTTCTACTTCTGCTATTATATGCATAGGAAGATAATTACCCTGACACTGATTTTCATTCAACATGCAAAATGAATGGCTGTATGGCTTCACCAGTTGTCTCATCACCCAAACCTCAGCAGAATACAAGATTGTCAAATTCTTGTTGTGCAAGTAACCTCAGGATATATGTGTA